TATATATATATATATATATATATTTATTTTACTGGAACATTAAGGAAGCTGATGTCCAGACTGTTTAGTAGGATTTGAATGAATATGTAAAAATGTAATCTAACTCTCACTGAATGCACCGTAAAGGCACACTTCTGTATTACCCGTTTAGCCAGACATCCTGTAGTCCGACCATCATGTGACTGACAGTAAACAGATGTTGGCTTTGCCACGTGTGGACCTCCTTATAACTAGTTGCCCAAGGCACCGGCCCACGGATCACCCTCCTGGTAAAAGGCTTGGGGATGCTGGATATGGACAGTCTCTGGCACTCAGATGGGTCCATCAGAATGTAGTCCACTGTCAAGGAACCACATGGAAGACAAACTAGATTGAACAGATTGACCAAATGTCATTTTCAAGACAAGTGAAATATTAATGAACAAAAGCACCAACTAGAGTGACTAGTTTTTCAAACCCATATGGGCACATGTATTAAAGAATCCCTATTTGTTGTGTTTAATGTGCTAACCGATACATAGATAGCAGCAGACATGAAGAAAAGCTGAAGCTGAGTTTGTTTTGGTCAGGCAGTCTATAAAAGCAATGTTAAAGTGATACTGGCATATGCTTAGAAGTTCCAAATAAAGCAGTACTGTCATTAAAGAACACTTTATTGTTGTATACCTATGCTCTGCTTGAGGCTGAGGTTATACTCTCTTTTGACCTCTTCTTCCATGTTTGCCCTCATCATCTTGAGGTGTTTACTAATATCCTCAGTTTCGGGAGGCAGCAGGCGCATGATGTTCATCATCTGCTGGGGTGGCTGGGGTTCCAGTACAGAGCTGGGGACACCATTGGTGATATAGTATATATACCGCTGTGTGAGAAAAGTTAAGATCAATAATGTGTCAAAGAAGTGACTCAAAAGATTCTAATCAGCAACTGACATGTCCATTACTGAATTAACTGATACTTGCTTCCAGGTCTCTCTGCGTAGGTTCTGTCTGCATGGCCCTCGTCTTCTCCTCTTGGCTGTGCATGACGTCCAGCTGCTCTTGAGGACTCATGGGCCGGCTGCTGGGACTGCCAACATTTCTTGGTCTAGGCTCTGGCCTACGTGAGAGTAAAGCATGAGAAGATGTATCCCTGTGAAAGCAGGAACAAGTCAGATAAAGTGCTTCAAGAAAAAGAACATTATAACAAAAATAAGCTATTGCTGAAATGTGTCGCTTTAAGGGAATAATAACCTTCTTCTTGGTGTTATTCTTTGTCTCCCTCCAGATGGGGTTAATGCTAAAAGCCTGATTAAGATCAAAATCCATTCTGAGAAGTTTCCAGAGCACATTTTAAATTATAACAAGATTAAATAAAAGGAAAGAACATTGCAAATGTAGACCGTTTCAGACAAGCTTCCCTTCGTCACAAAGAGCTGGGTTTCAACATAAAAAGGATACAAGGCTCTGCTGGTTTTTCCAAGGATTGACGGAAAGGGCGTCGTCTGTGCTGGAGTTTATTAATCTTAAATTTCTGGGCCCGGGGACTGTAGTTATTTCCAATAGACTCACTGGGAGTACGGTGTTGACGCAGCTCTTTAAAGGGACCTGCTAGTGTCCGAGAAGTGGTCTGGAGAATGGGTGGGTGATGACTGTTCCTCAAGAGAATCTGGGGTAAAATAACAACTTGAATGATAAGATGATGTATGGTAGCATGAAGGTTCATGCGTTTAACCGGTTTTCTCTAAAGCACTTGTTTATATGATACAGTGATATTCTTACTTGATACACTTCTGATGATTCTGCACTACAAGTCGTGGGCAAAGGTGGGGGGAAAGGATATCCTCTGCTCTGACTCATGTTGAAAATAGAGTCATCCTCCATCTGTAGTTCAGACAAAAGTAGTAAATGTTAAAACACAAACAAACAAACCCCGTGTTGTACAATGACAATAAAACCCAATGTTGTACAATGACAATAAACCTTGTACCCTAACCACTGACACTTTTGCTTGACTTTAATTTGCACACTAAATAAAAATTAAATGTGATACAAGCGTTGTTTATTCAAAAGCTATTAGTGCACACTCTATTTTTTTTTCATTACACTACTTCACGTCTTTTTATATGATAAACACGTGCGTTTAATTATGCCTTTACAGTTAGTGCATAGCAATTGCATGCAAAATATAGGCCATACAAATGAATAGTGCATTTCAGAATCAGCCCATATATCAATATTTCTCAACGAAACTGCAAACCTAGACAGATAGAAGGGTCTCCTTTAGGACGGTATAAAATACAATATAAACAAGTCCATTAAGATAGTTAAATATTCAGCTACATGAGGACGTATTAAACGTATTTTCAACAGAAAAGAAACGTTACCTCCTCAGCGTTTTGCCTTTCCATCTTGTTGCTGAAAGACACCGTTGTAACAGACCGTTAATATCATTTTAGACCGTTACCTTCTATCAGTTGCTCTGTATAGTTACGTCGGATATCGGCAGGATTTCATTCATTTCGTAGCATTAAGCTCAAATGTTTTATGTGTCCATTAGCAACAAAGGTTTGCGCGCAGAGTTTGGAAGTAGGTTAATCTGGCACTTTTCTAATGTACAAATGACATTAACTATTTCGAGCTACTTTAATTTTGCCCTGTAAACGCTTTGAAAAGCCTCACGTTGCTGTAAACTGACACACTGTTGATCTCAACCAGGGACGTCTCCGTAGTAACCCAACCACCTAAAGCGGAACTATATGTGGTGGGCGGTTGTTCCCTGATAAAAGGTCGGACCGGGTTTATTTCTGTGTGTAATATGGTCACAACCAAAACTATTGTATTATGTTGAGTTACAGATCGCTCTAGGAAGCTAGAGGCTTTTATTGTGAAGGATGAAACGGAAGAAGGAAACGTTGTTTATTATTGTATTACTATTATAAAGTATAAGCGCAACATAACCCTCGGCTACATTGATGGCAGCGGTTATGTTGCACCTATACTTTATAATAGTAATAAAATAATAAACACGGGGCTCCGTAGTCTGCACCAAGATGGCAGCAACTTTATTCTCTTTTCACACACTTCACAATAAACTTTTTCCTTCTTCCGTTTCATCCTTCACAATAAAAGCCCCAAATACATACACTGGAACACTGTTTCCTAGAGAGCTCTTAACGTAACTCAACATATTAGCTTACACTATTACAGCAGGCGGTGAGACAACAAGGAACAATACTCTGGGTTTGTTTTAATGGTTTGACCTAATACCTTACCTGGAAGCGTCACTATTCAGCAGTCATCTGCCCTCTGCTGGTAGCCGCTCTGCTTCTCCTTCCAGAAGGAGCCTCAACCACGTGGCCCATAGTATACATATTCACTAGGGGGCAAAAATGGAGTCTTAGTATATTTGCATTACGAATCATCTGTCACCTAAACTATTGTGTTCAAAAAAATTACAAATACAGATGAATAGAATAAGAAATTAGACACATTTTTAGATTTCACATGATTTTAACCCATGACAAAGTTATCAATTGGAAAAGTAGTTTAAAATATTGTTTACAGCCCAAGTTTCATTTTACCTGAAGTGTAAACAGTAAAGTGTGATCATGCACTGCGTGGACAAAGGAAGCAAGTACAACAAGATCAAGTTGAGGAAAATATGTCATTGTGAACTCTTTGGCTAACCTTAAATTTTCGCTGGCGCTCGCCTGTAGAGACTAGTCCGGACGGGAACGCGCAGCTTGGGGCAGAATCAGCTGAATCTATTTGAGGACGCTGATTGGCTAAATTGTATGTCACACATTTATATCTTTAATCAGCAATTGGCTAACCTGCTTCATAGACCCGCCTCTTTTGGGCAGTTTCGCCAGCGCCCCAGCCAGCTGAGACGTGCACACGCGGAAAGGACGTTCAGACAGGCTGAGAGGACGTGCAGGAAAAGCATATATTTACCGCAGATATCATATTTTACACATATTACTGGGTGATTCCATCTTTCAAAAACACAAATATTGACAATTTGTATAGTTTATTATTATTATTATTATTATTAATTGTATTTGTTGTGGCTCAAAGTGGGGCGGCGCCCTAGCGCCCTCTATTGACCAGCCGCCACTGGTTAGATTAGTCATGTGCACTAGGCGTGGTTTCCGGCATTGTGAGGTGGTTGGTGTTGGGCAGAAGAAGCGCCCGTGGCTTGCGTTGAAGTGCATCTGGCTAACTTATTATTTTTAAAATTATTTTAGATATGGTAAGTTCCAGCCACACTTTTCATGTGCACTACACTACACTGTTAAACATGTAGCCGTACAGTCGCTCTGTTTAATTGAAGCCATGTGTTGACTTAATTAATCGACGTGCTAGCTGAGTACCTCGCTGTGCTAACATTAGCGTTGGTGTTAGCTAGCGAGCTAATTAGCCACCTTCGCCATGAGAACCGAAAAAGGCGCACTAGCTGCTGGTAGCTAATGTTAGCTGGGTATGCTATATTTAAAATGAGCTAGCAATAACTGACTAACAGTCTGTCGTCGACTTTTTTTTTTAATGTTAACTGTTGCTGCTCCACCGTTGGATATGTATATATGTGTGTGCAGATATATATATTAAAAAAAAAAAAAAAAAAAAAAAAAA